ATATCCATAATATAATTAATGAGATTACAACAAGGAAACTATTTTCCACGACATGTATCTATTATGATGTCCCTTTTTAATAAAATCTATATACATTATTAATATAAAACCTTACTACCACTACAGACAATGCCAACACTGTCGACAAAGCCAACAAGCCGACAAATCAGGAGCACTCGCGGCCGTCCGCCCGCTCGCTATTTTATAAATATGTCAACTGTACCAATAGGATAAGTAGTATGTTCCTTGCTGTTAATTAACACACGTAATTACTTAACCGTTCGATTTTGTGTATTTTACAAAATAAAACAGTTTTCCATAAGAGCTCTTTAACTCACATCATAAAAATCCTAAGATCCTCAGGCCTAAATTTGGCGCCTATAAATTTAATTTACTTTTGTAGATATGTAATAGTTTTTCTAAAGTAAAAGTGAAATTACAGAGTACAAAGGTATAACATTTTAGTACTCGAAATGACAACGCTATCCGCCCTATGTGGGGTATTGGGCGCCACATTACTTTATTTCCATCGTGCTATTCATATACGAGTAAATAGACGACAGTTACCTCTTACTATTTGGTGTTACATAAAAAAATACTATTTATATATAGATATGTAAAATACAAGCGAACTAAAAGCATTTTCTTGTTTAAATTGTTAAAAGCACCCCAACATATTCACACACTAAATTGACACAAGCTTGCTCATTTATGACGCGGGCAAATTGTTCGTGGCTGTTAGATTGTTAATGGTAAGCGCAAACATCACGTATCATTACGTATACATAAACTAAAAATAAGTCAAGCCCGCATCGAGCATAACTTTCCATAGAGGTGTTTTAAGTAATAGGTTCATTAACTTATCTTTTTTAAAACTTAATGGAATTGCATATGTTGACAACCTTGGAACACCTTATACGTTGCCTTTACTGGAATTCTAATAGCGATGCTGGAATTCTAATGTATCATGCTGTCGTACTTTGCCATTTCATTGCTATATCTCATCCTTTAATAGAAACACCGATTATAAAGCTAAAGTCCGTCGCGGCTGGAATATGTGAGACAGAGCTAATATTATTAAGTCTTTTGTGAATTTCTATAATATATGTGGCAGTATTGTTATCTTAAGAAAATTGTTATTGTAATTAATTAGGTTTCTTCTAACTAATTTGAGAAAGCATAGTTACTAGATGCCTCCAGAAAACATATAATACTTTGCTAACACGTTGGCATCATTTTCTATATGCTATAAAAATACAAAAGAAAATATTCTTTTCATTTTTCTTTTCATCTACAATGCCCATATCTATACCCGTTTACGTACGTCGCTTTGTTAGAAAAAGCTGAATGTTTTATTGAAGCCACAGCGGGAGTTTGAAAGCGTGTGCATGTAGCATTTTATATGTGCAGCGTAATAACACTCTAAACGCGTTAGCTGGTCGGTCTATTGCATTTAATGATGATATGTTTAATATTCACGTGATAAAATGTGAATCTCTAATTAATAACATTATTAGTACCTACAGCTTGTTTCCGCTTATTCGTGAATTGAGGTTTTAGAAATTACATTCATAGATTTCAGACTGTGCTTTAATATAATATATTAATAATTATAAATGTCTTATGGGTTATGCGATTATAATCAAAATATTTAATTTGTACTTTAATGGTTTACTGTTTTTGTACATCTGAACCCCCGACGTTGCAATGTTGCAGTCTTTATATTATATATGGCTATTGGGGCACATGTTCATAGAACCGTGCCTGAACACATCTAATAATCTTACTAATACGGTAATTTTTAGTTTTAACCTCCTTTCAAAATCTGACAAATATGAATTACTTAAAAGCTGGCTATTATGGTCAACTTTGTTTGACATTTGACAAAGCTTACCTATCATCACCTCATATTTTATTAAAATCCATTCAACCGTTAAGTAATGAAAAGATAACAGAACAAGGTAAGACTCAAGGACTGACAGACGGACAAACTTTCGCATTTCTGATATTAGTATGTATCGAATTACGTCGAATTATCGAGTTACGAGTTAGTTCTAATATTAGTTAATACATATATTCCATGATATTTTATTGCCATGTTGTCGATAAAATATCGTGGAATACATATATGCATTAACTAATATTATAATTAATGGTTTCCTTCTTAAATTTATAACAATACTGTTATATACTATATAAAAAATATATTAATACAAAAACTTAAATTAATACACAAATGGATAAAATGTTATGACAAGTTAAATGAAATTATTTAAATGTAAATAAAAATAAACCCCACTTCCCGTCGCTGTGTACGAATGACGTAGGTACGAGATTAGATTCTGGGTCGAGCTAATTTAGTAAAAGAACGTTTATGGCTATATAATAGACATGAGTAATAAATGAAATATGGTGCCTTCGTGCCGATAAAATGTTTGCCAACTACCTATTACTTCCGTGATGTAATTGAAAACACACTCAGCCGTCTCAAGTTCTATCGGAATGAAATTATTTTCAATGTATAAGTATGTTTTTTTTATGTCAAGCTAAATATTATAGTACAATGAACTAGCCTAACTTAGATAGAAATATTTTCATTTTTATTGTTATGTTATTTATTTGGAAGAAAATAAATAACATAACAATAAAAATTAAAATATTTCTATCTAAGTTTATATAATTATCATACCATATTATTGTCTAAGACGTTAGGTGTTACTTATAAATGTATGCAACCTCATTTTGCTATATAATGTAACTTTTAAAAAAGAACACAGAACACTAACTAAATTTGTCAGTCTGAACTAATTCATTGGAGGAAAAATACAAGATCCTTTACATGAGTACAGAATATTTGTTTTATTTACAAAAGAACAAAAGGATAGTACAAACAATTATTCTTATTTATCGCACGCTAAACAAAGTTAACCAGGATAGAGCTTATGCCCTAACTTCTGAGAATGGAAAAAAGTTATACGCTATAAATATCTACTCTATTCGTATATAAAAATATCATATAAGTATAATTGGATGTACATAACAACTTTTACCCTCGTTTAGCCTATTGATGTCTCTCAGCTCCTCAAAGAGCTAACTGCAAGAGAACGCTCAGCGGGGTTAAGTCGCCATTGTAGATTGAAACTTATTCATGTCTTACTCGTTTGTACTTTATTTACAATAAAGATTTTATAATACGACTGACTATTTTACAATACTATTAGAGGATAACTATAAATGGAAAATTGACAAGTCAATGATAACGACAGCCGTGGTAAACTTTGCATAAATTTGTCTGCGTACCTCAGTCTCGCCTATTTCAGGCGCCAAGCAGCTTGTTTTGGTTGAAGGGTGGGATATGGCAGTATAAAGAACACAAAGGTATCTTAGTACTCGTATATTGGCAACGCATGAGGGTAGGTATTACAAGAGTCACATGACCACGTTATGTCCCTTATTATAAAGTCCTATTCATACATAGAAGCAATGGTTATCACTCTTCCTCAGATGAACCGACCGACAGTTTGTCATTCCAGTTATATAAAAAACCTTTTGGCTCTTAATGTGATTTTAGAACTTTTTACAACAGGAGAATATATATATTATTGATAGAATTTGTATTGACGTATTTTTTTATACCATGTTGGCTGCCACTGCTACTATTTTTTTATATAACAAGTATATGGTCCATCTGACAGTAAACGGAATGGACGCCTGAAACACCAGGAATGTCAAGTGTGCGTTGCCGGCCCTTAACAAACCGTAAAATACCTTTCTTAAAAAACACCATGCTGTAATCGCGGGATAATAAGATAATAAAACATACTAATAATTAAATTTCAGCTATGAATTATTTAACACAATGAATAACTGGTTAGATGATAATGAATAGCATTATCATATAATAAATACAAATGTAGTAATAATACATGAAGTTACCAACTCTCATTAGAAACTGTCCAGCAAGTTTATAAAACAAAACAACAAAGTAGAAACACGTCTTAACGCCTCGCTGGAGAGAATACTAACCTCTACATGGATTAATGAAAACATTATTAGTGTGTTATCTTTTTTTGTGGATTTCATTGCTAATGTGGGCATAACAACATAACTACTATCTGTATCTATATATGTATATCTCCTTAGTAATATAATATTATAAATGTAAAAGTAACTCTGTCTACCTGTCGCTATTTCATACCAAAACTACTAAACCGATTTAAATGAAATACACAGATAGTCTAAAGACCTTGGAAACGTTTTTGAAGCTAAAAGCATGAAACTTACATTTTAGACTGTTGATTAAAAATAAATAAATATAACATTCAAACCTTGCCTAGCCTTATGGGTAAAATAAATTAGAGGATAAACGGAAATTCGACATTCGTCGTATATTCCACGTGGACAAAATCGGAGTCACAGCTATTATAAAACAATGATAAACTAAAAACTATGGTTTCATAAATCAATAGAATGATTTCTGAGGAAAGTGTAGGTGTAGAATTCCTTAAAGCTTTGTGCAAATTTAGTAAACTATGCCCGTACAAAGAGAGGCGGGGTCGTTAGCATAGTAAAAACTAAGTCGCAGTTTTTGTCGTCGATTTCTCCGTATAGAAGAAGTCTCTACGCACGCAACGGATTTTGATAAGATTCTTTTACTATTATTTTCACCTTTTCATCTCTATTGTATATTTAAAAAGCAACTAATGGAGTAAAGTACGTACCAACAGGGTAGTAATACTCTTTTGGAAAAAAATACCCAAAAGTAGAATAATATTGCACTATATTATAACAGCCGATAGGGATCAATGTAAGAAGACGACAAATAGCGCGATTCCTAATAATGGAATTAAAGCAAGATGATGATGAATCTAATAATTATTATGAAAATTATTAATGTAACTATTTATTAAATAATTATTTAGAGTATTTTATTAGTAACCAATTCATGTTTATTACTTACTTCCCTAGCGTAAAGATAAAATATAAGTAGTAAAACTAACCTTGGCAATTTTATGAAGTAGAGCAGTCGTGGAACTCGTTTTGAAGAGCCCAAGTGCTCGCCTCCTTAGGCCTTGTCCAAGGCATGCTTCAACAGCACCACATAATGCGGTGACACCACCACTGTCCTCGTGAACGAACTTGCGGGTAACAGCCTAGAATAAAAATATTGTTTATCTGTCTGATTTTTACTTAAACACATTCCCTACTCTTCTAGTAATCTAATATAAGTAATGTAAATAAAGACCCCAATATGTGTACTTATGCTTTTTAATATAAAACTAAAACTTCCAAGCATCATTACCAATCAAAATTATCTTCCCAAGAGATATAAAAAGAAAGTGACTACCAAGCCTGTATCATCAGGTGTCAAAGGTATAATTGCCACTCTTAAATTTTAAATACCTAATAGAATATAGAGAAACCTAATCAATTGCTTAATTTATAAATATAATATACACGTTTTCATTATTACTATTATTAAAGTAGTTCACGTTATATAGGACCATATTCCTAGTCCTGAAAAATGTCAAAAGTGACTAATATATTACCTATACCACTGATGTTTTTATATACTTTATCAACGTTTACAATTCCCAAGTCCATTTCCCTTGCCAAAATTTATCAGTAAATAGATCTATCCCTTTTCTTATTACGAAATTGGAAAATATATCAAACGATAAATTAATGTCCTACAGAGTGTCTACTGGTCTACTTCTCGTACACGTTTTTATTTGCACAGATATTTTGTGAGCCTACCTCATAGTATATTTTTCTAGACAGCAAGAAGTAAATTATTCACATAGAGTACCTATAATAGTTATATGTTATAAATGAAAGAAAAGTTTTATCTATGGTCTTGTTCAAGATATAAACTATGAACTATACGTATACTTTTGCAACCTAAGCTAGCACTACAATTAATAAGATAAGAAGAAGAAGAAAAATTAATAAGATATATATCAACTACTCAGATGGTGAGCAAGATGCATTAAATTGCAAACTTCTAAATCCTCGCGATAAAAAAGTTTGATGTTCAACGCATCAATGTATAGATAACCGAAGGTTAGAGAAATCTGCTGACGGCAAGATAAAAAAGTGTCCTAAGCGTCTCAAGATAAAACAGCGTCTAAAGGATATTTCCTTGTAACACAAATTCTTTGTATATTTGTTTCTTATTTAAAGGGCTCCAGCCATCGTAAAATTTGTCAGTCAAAATATGTACCATAACTCGAAAGAAGTGGCTGGCATAAGAAAGTAATAAATAATTTTTAATAGACATTTGCGTGTTTATAGATTGATTGTATACAATATTTCGATCAGTTAAAAATTGCAATTTAGTCATGGCATAAAATATTATGAATCATCTCTTATCGTTTAAAAACAGACCCTGGCTATTGTCGTCCTCGTTATGTTAATATTTTACATTGAACGAATCGAATCAGGAGATTGTTTATCGAATAAATCGAAAATTCACATAAGCTGATGGTTTACACTGCGTCAACTATGGAAATTGCTTGTTGGAATTGGAGATTCTTATCGATTCGAGAACGGAATACAAACGATTGGAATTTAGAATGTTTGTGGGTATATGAATGATATATGAGTACGCCCTCATCATTGGCTGTTTTTTTGTATGACAGGCATAGCAATCAAGCTGATTGCACAGCCGATGAAAAATGGTAACCGTCTCATATGTTCAAGAGTAATACATGCACTTGGTATCTCTCAGGCATTGCCAATTTGGAGGACTAAGATGCTATGCCTCCATAATCTGAATTGCAATGTTATCTCACCTTCTAACTAAAAACAGATTACAAACCGTAGCGGTTGAAATAGTTGAGGCAAAGGTACCCATGCACACGACTTTGTACAAAGTCGCTGTTGTTCAGATTTATCATTATTTCTAGAATTAGGTATTAATAGGTAATAGCTATGTAAGTCTACTTACGAATATAATTCCAGAACACTACTACAATTTTGTTACTCAATCCTCTTATCATAATTTAGGACCCATCTGCTTAACGAGAATACTATCTAACATACATACTACATAAAATATACTCCCCAGTTTCATGAATTCTATTGTTGAAATTCTGTCACAAGACAAAGGGACTAGAAATTTCTAATGGTTATAATTTCACTCAACCTTAAAGATAAAGTTTTTGTCTTTAACATGAACTTTGGGTACTGTTTCATAAGTTTGCACCGTAAGGTATTACACGATGTAACTAGGTGAGAATAAATAAGAATAATTATTTTTTTAAGTAATTTAAAAAATACTAATGTTATGCCATATTAGTTATAGAAATAGCAACGCTTCATGAATCGTAAACCGTTACTGTCCATTACATAAATTAACTTTTATCACATTTTAATCCTACAAAACATATTAATTTAGGTAAAAAGAATCTGTAGATAAATATGCCTGATGAGTAATAGTGACTCCATCAAAATTATGTATAATGAATGAATTTACTCTACTTTATACAGTATAAATACTTGTAGCTTAGTAGCTTTCGAGTTCCTGATTAACTCCAAAATACTGGAAGTGGGACAGCGAGATATCGCAGAGGACACAATATATTTTGTGATACCTAAAGCATATATTATGTACCTACTAGTAATATAGACATAATATATCTTTGGTTTTTTTCCTTCGCAATAGATCTATCTAATGTAAAGTACCTATAAAATGTAAAATTTGATTAATTACTTAGCATTTCCTAAGCGGCATAGCATGGATATGTAGCCTAAGTTACATACGTATCTAAATATTTTATATTAACACTATAAACTACAACTATATTTCGATAGCCTCATATATTAGATCCTTCGAACTTTTATAACATACTTAAGTATGTATTTGGAAACCGGACAAATTACGCCCACATGCGGATTAATCAAGGTTCTTACATTAGATTATGACGGCTTTATGAAAACCCTAAATGGGATGAAGTAAGTCCTATAAATGACAGATTACATCAATATGAATCCTACTCAAACATTAAGCTTCAAGGATGCTATTTCTATACCTTTATACAAGAATAATTTAAATTACTTACAATGAAATAGAAATAATTTAAGTTACTTTATTTTTACAAAATTCTAATATCAATTTATACATGTGACCACCTACCGTCCTCTATTTATACGGACCACCATAGTTTTAGGATTTTTTATTTATGATAATGTAATGCTGGCATGGCACCAGCCCATCGTTGCAAATTCACCAGTAATTTATCCCCTTGTTCTCAAGAGGGATCCTCGTGGAGATCTACTTGACATGGTACATTGCTAGCAATAGGATTAGTCCACATTATTAACAATGCCCTTCCTCCCAGTTTCAAGGTTTTATTTAACATTAAATGAGGTAAAATATATTACCGAGGTACTCATGAACTATGTCATCTCTAGTCACACTTCTGTCTAGCCTCTTTCAGCTACCAAGCTGTTTGCTTTGTATAATGTGCTCAGATTGAGGGGTGAGATAAAGAAGTAAAATTACTGTATACAGAGCTATGACTTTTTATTCCTCCGGAGTGGCAACACACATAACATCCCACAAACCACACAAAATTAGCGTGATTGTATGTAATTACATTAGGTATAGTTTTTTATTAGAAATGGGTTTGGATTGGTCTTAATCCACCTGATGGAAAATGATGATAGAAAAGGTATACCTAGGCGAAGATTACCACTAATCATAAGGTGGGCCTTTGGCATGTTTGACATTACAGTTACATAAATGAGGTTAAATAGTAATTACACTAACCTCCTCCATCAAATGCTTGACTTCCTTCTTGACAGCAGCGATGAGGCGCTCCTTCTGCTCCGCGTTGGGATCAGCTGCGGCCGGCATTTGGTCTGCGTCACTTTCCACTGAAACAATATAAACATAAATTAAATTAATATAATAAAAATTGCCAAAATATGGTCGAGTGCTGGAGGAATTAAGATGATTTTTACATAATATCGTATAAATGTAATGAATATAAATACCTACCAAAGAGATGAATTAATTAATTTTATGAATAATTTCAATGAGCATACATTTGTACCTACTCTCGGTGGTCTAGTAGTATATCATGATTGTCCGATGGTCGCAGGTTCGAATCCTCGTATGGCACAAACATTTGTATTCATGATTATTGTCGGTCTGGCTATTTTCTACGTATATTATGTATGTATTTAGAAATAAAATGTATCTATGTATTGATATTAGTTATCTAGCATCCATAACACAAGCTCCGCTTTCCTTCGAACCAGGTTATAGGTTATACTACACGTATGAGTTAAAATTAATTTAGAATTATAAGTTTGATTTATTAATAAAATAATAGATGTCTTATTATACTCGTTTCACTTATGATCAATAGATAGCGTCTCCAAATGTATAAGATACGTGCCCAACTAATCTATATTATAAATTTATTTGTCCAGGTTGATTTATAGACACATAAAAATTAGCCGAATTATAAAATCTAGAAGAAACTCAAATATCAAATATAGGTTTATTTTATAGCGTAAGCACCCCCTAAGATCTTGTTCTTATAATTCTCAGGGGCACTCGAAATAAATCGTGCCGTGCTAACAAGCCCGTGGGATCTATTAGAATTTTGTATAAAATAAAATTACGAATACTATCCTATCTCCATTTATTCAAGCGTACGATAAACAGCAATGATTTTTAGAAACAGATTTATTTTTTGTATTTATATTCTGCTATTTTTTTTTATAATTTTGGCATTACTATGTAAACTGTACAATTTATAGGAATATGTAATAGTAACAATCTTAGTTATAGCTTTTTTAAGCGTGTCATTTTGTTCACACATGTAAATATAAAATGGATATGTTTAAGTTGTGTTTATGATAAGTTTTCCTTAAGTCGTGCTCTACATACAATTTATGTCTTTTATTGACCATCTTTGGTCACTTGCACTATTAATTAAATCTAGATTAATTTACAGTAGTAACCTATGTCACTGACTAAAAATTACAATGTAGTATTCTATATCTGAAAGAATTTTAAATAAAACGGACTATTATAAACAAACAAATATACAATCGTAAATAAAAACTTCTCTTTATTATATTATTTTAATAGAATTAAATTTAAAGAGATACCTCTTTATAATTTCATTGTTCATTATGTTTTGTCTAACACATGCCTTTAAATAGCTAACGAGCTTTCTCTTCGAGACATTCACAAGTGTTTATACATGTGGAATGTCTGGCGGAGAATGTTTGTAATACGACGAGGTAAAGCGCATTGAGAAAAGCACTTGGAGCGTGTGGAAATATGTTTTATGTAGGTAGCATAAGTATCGTTATGACAAATGGATAAAAATATAGGTACGATTATATATATTAAACTTCTTACTTAACAACAAATATAACTTATTATTTTTAACACAACATATGGGTAATTGTAGCCCTATTTTATATTTCTTTTAGTATTATAATTGTATTTTTGACATAATTCTTATCACTAAGCAAATAACCAAAATGGTTATCTACATTACACGATTCTTGTTGTTCGTTGCTTTTACTTAATTTTCCTATAGAACAAACAAATCTTTTAATTTGTCTTTTGTATTCACGTCACATCCACATCACCTTACATTTTAATTAATAAAAAAAATCTACGATAATATTTTTTTATATCTATAAAACAACGTCTGTTTCATAACGCCGTCGTAAGAGTTATAATTCCAATAACCAGATTAAACTTGACTAATTATTCAAGCTTTGAAACACTTAGCAACCGAAAACCTTTCCAGAACTTATTAACAGAAGACAGAAGCTGTAAAACGCTGACGACCAAAGCAGTAATAGTATAGAACATGCTTTTATTTTCTTCTAATTACACACATGCCTACTTCCTAATGTTGTTTTGAATGTGACGCACCTAGTTTAACCTTTTGCCCTTTGCCAGTATTGTTTGTCGAAGATCGTGATTACATCACGGTTCTTTGAGATAATTAAAGTTTCTGAAAGCTTACCCTTTAATTACTTAGGCCATTTATTTTAAAAATAAGATTGAATATTTTTCTATTGCTCACAAGCACTCTTTTGTTTTTTGACAATAAATCTAGACGTAAACTAAACTATGCTTGTACTATGTGTACAAGCATTGTTTAGTTAGTTACTAAACTACTGCCAGACATACCGTAAATATTTTTATTAAATCTAAATAAAACATATATACATAGAAAACACCCAAATATACACAAACAGTCATACTTATAAATACAAATGCTTGTATTGTGCAAGAATCGAACTGGAGACAAGTAAGGCGCTGTGTTAAAAAGCTAAACCACTAAAACTGTATTATTGTGTATACTTATAAAATTATATTATATACTTAGTGTATATATTAGTCCAGTATTTAGTAGTTCGTTTAGGAAAAAGCTCCTATTTTCGAGAGTTATTTAGTCGTAAGCCAAGCTTGTGGATTGATACTAGACAACTGATAAAATAATAAACCTATAAAACACCCAGACCAATATAAATATATACTTATACTCAAGAATACAAGGTTTATATCGTGCGAGGAATCGAACCCGTGGCCATCGGAAGTAAAGCGCTGTGCTAAACCGCTAGACTACAGAGGTCGCCACTAGGGTTAATGAAGTATATTGGTTTAGGATATCCATAAAGGAAACTAAAATATGTATACTATATATCAATTATAATAATAGAAATTAAATACCTAATAGACGTAGTATTTAGTTATGAGAGGAGATCCGTGAGAAGCATTATTGGAATAATAGGCGTTAAAGATGATTAGCTATTATTATTAGATAAGTGACCCCGCCTTCACATGAGTGCATTCTTTGGATTTCTCAGCTTTTCTGTACTGTCTATACTGTATACACACTATACATGTATTATATTTTATCTGTTGTTATGATCACAATAAGTTTGCTAATTTTATATTCTTAAGAACAACTTTTTATTCATCTACTATACTAGACTATACGAGTAATATATTATAACACAGGTAGTAGGGATGTCCCTTACTCATATAGATTCAAATAAAAGTATTTTTTTAATATCGTGTACCTACCTACAAAGGTGCTAAATTATTTTTTTAGATATGGTAAACCATTAGCCGGCCAGCATTATAGCTTTTATGCTAATTGTTATATAATAGATATAGAATATAAAATTAATTTTATTATTACAGTGTGAGATAATATTTAATTGGATTTATAATATTTTATATCAAGATCCGAGAAGTTATGTATTATGCTTTATTTAGGCTAGATAGATGTGAACAATCGGTCTCTGTAAATAACAAATTTGTTTCCTTTTCTCAACACTGAAGACCACAAAATGCTGTATTCTATGCTCAATTATATTAGAAACTTTGACATAAATTTCGTTTAATATAAGCATAATAAAGATTGCTAAAAAACAAATCAACTAAAAATTGAAGTTACGGGTCAATAAGCACTTGGAAAGTTCAAAATCAAAATACTAATTGTTATTAGTAACCAAGTTGTAAATTTCTGTTCAGTTTATGAACAATAATACAAAGAACAATATAATAGTAGAGTCAAAGTAAAGATATACATAAAATAGTATCAACAAAATATATTATTGATTAACATTTTGAAAATGTTAAATTATTTATACATACTTATGCACTCTCAATAGTATAAACTAACCAACCACTATATTACCATGCAACATCCGTAGTTAAAGGTAATCGTACCGAATAATAATAATTGCATGTTCACCTCGGAATCGGCTGTACATACATGCAAATTTTATATGCGCACGTTGTAATGGCCTCGAGGTAACATAAATATAATACACACATAATGGACTGAGCTCGTTTAAGGGAAAATGAATTCTCCATTTCCTCTTTCTATATAAGAATAACATCTTCAAGACAAAATCTATGTCTATAATGTATCTGGTATTCGTGAAAGTAATAATTAAACATCCATTGAAAAAGGAACACTTCGTCACCCTTAGTATACACGTAATGGTAGCGCAGCTATTTCTGATCGTGAACACTGAATCGTAGAAAAGTTTTGAGGAAGAAATAAATGAAAGTATAATGTACAGGGTGAAATATTGATAATATTCCTTCAAGAGATACTATACTGTCACATCTCTGTCATCCTATTTGGCCACCAAGTAACTTGTTTCTTTCGGGTTTAAAAGTGGCAATATAGCATTATTGGGAATATAGCGACGAAATTTCAAGGCATCATGGTATGACAACATAATTAATCCTCAGGAGTGATCATACATGAGTTATATTGTTATGGCTGTTTTTACTTGAAAAAGCAATAGTTGAACTTGAATTTAGCTTAAATATATATATATATATACTACTTATTTTCATGTACCTAATATTACTCGTACGTAAAGGATATAAAGAAAAGTTTAAAAGTTAATTGATGTGCAGTTAAGATTAAATCCAAAACCCAACATCAATCTCTGTCAGGAGCATCGCCTAAAAAGGAAATTTGTAATACGAAAATGCCAAGTAAGCAATATAAAGTTTTCTGGAAGAGATTCAAATACGTTTCTAATTTGAATATATCAATACATTTATGAAAATATCATGTATGCCAGGAAGAATAGGTATAGACAATTTGAAAAGTGTTAGTGACTACAGTAATAAAAGCTTACGTAATAATAACAAACTGATTTTACCTAAAAGTCGTTAAACTAAAGTTAGTAATACGTTTTATGGCAATTGAGTAAGGTTTTACAACAAAATAACAGAGTCTGTTATAAATCTGCCTGCAAAAGATTTAAATGTCATATAAAACACTTCTTTTTTTGCAAAAAAATGTAAGCTATTAATATTGAAGAATTCATTAACGATAATAATGTTTTTATAGAAAAATTTAAAATCCATAGCGCTGACAATATTACCTCATTACACTAAAGAGTGCGTAGCGATTTCGTTGATTATCGCATGTCTCTTACTTGTTATACTTTAATTATTTATTATATAAATAATTAAAGTATAACAAGTAAAACATATATTCATAAGAGCAACACACAAGTTTCTTGCTCATTCTTCTTGTGATGAATATGCGTTCCAAATGAGTGGTAGAATCAAATTAAGACTATTCCAAAGGGCTCATAATGAGTTTATTTGAATAAAGATTATTTCTATTTCTATTAATATACAAATATACATTCTATGTATCTACATGTAATAAAAATCGCATCGCATGTAACTGATCGCTGTCTATAGGTATATGAGAAAATCAACGTAATAGACCCCAAAACATGTTAGAATTTTGTTGTTTGTCTGTGCACTGCTAATCCCAGAATAGGTTTATCGGATTTGAGCCCAGTTTTGACTAATGTATTATGGTAAGCTACACTTAAAATTTTGTGTTTGTTTTATTCAAATAGCTTTACAAACAACAATGTTACAGGTCTGAAGTCGCGTAAATGTCGATTCATCTGATGGAAACTGCTTATTTGATATTTTTATTAGAAAAACAGCACCATGGATATTAAAAAAATTACCAGGAGATTGAAGATATTATGTCACTATAATTTTACTGCTTTAACTAACTCTTCAACACGAAACATATTAAAATGAAAGCTGTTTGATTGCTCAAATAACTAAGTCAAACATATCCAAGTACATGACTTTTACAAAGATTAACTCAACTTGGCAACTCCAATAAATTTTTTTTAAACTACAGTAATTACTTTGCCCAAACTCAATAAAACAATCTTTGTTCTTTTTAGTACATATAGTCGTGTTTGTAGTATATATACCACCGTATTTATGTCTTTTATTGTCTTTCTTCTTTATTCTTCTCAGGCATCCATCACAGTCATTATGTAGATATAGTAAGAAAGAAAAGAAATAAAATAATATAAAGACAAACGCTGTAATACACGATTCAAGAAGCAATTAAAATGTTAATATATCTGTGTGTATACATATATCAGGGTATACATATAGGTATCCTAATTATTTCTATTAACCGACGCTACATGCATGTGTATCGGCCGTGATTTATTCTCAGGCAGAACGTTTGCTTGATTTCCAATATCCTTATAAAATATAAGAAAAATTAGGAATAATGTATTTTTGTTATAGTAATGTTTTTTTTTTCCTTTAAATAAAAGAACTGAGCACACCTAATGTCGGCTATTTCTTATTTTAAATGTTAAACATTAAAATAATAAAATTATATGAAAGGTTACAAAAGTTTGGCAGATTAAAGTCTTGTTATCTAGCTTGTCATAAAAACAAGATTGCAAACATCACTCACATGGCCGATTCGCCCACTCACATTATTATCGGCAACGTCAAAATGTTGGGTACATTGCAAATATCACGTCCTAAAAAGTTGGGGTTTAGTATTATCGACATAATTACATAAAATATATAAAGTATACAAACTATATAAAACTAAATATCTTACATGCAATTAGAAAATTAATAAAAATCTGTCAACTAAACATACCTTTATTTTGGGCGGCCATGATTTTCTGCCCACGGGGAGTGGCGCATTATTTTCGCGGGAAATATTCACATTTCTAACTTTTTATGTTTATAAGTCATGAAAATATGTCACTAGTGTTATTTGAAATGTGTTTGTAATATTACTGATGCTCGGAAATAGGTTGTTTGGTGGAAAAATCGATGGCGCGCCGCGCGCACTCGGTCGCTTCACGCAAGTGATAAGCTCCGTCGCTTGCCGGCGTCGTTCGCGTAGATTGTAGCCTGTAGCTATGCCGTAGATACCTAGCAAGTACCTAACCGCGGAGTCCTAGCATAAAGTGGCTGGTTTCCCAAACCACGATTGATTGTCACACTAATAAAAACGAATTGTTAATATGTAGCTACATTCGTAAATGCCAAGATGTAAGCTGCCAGAAACATATTAAATAAGTATGAGCGGCATTTTATTGTTTATGTTTAGAAAAAGAAAGGACAGTTATTTAACACATGCCTATTATAATTTAGGTCTCGCTGAGCTAGTAATATGATTTTTCTAAGATTCTTTTAAAAGTACAAAACAAAAAAAAAGATTTCGTGTATCAGTGACACGTTATTATTTGCGGCCGTTATTTACTTCCAATTCCTGTGCGAAACTACAAAAATCTCCTTTAAAACGATTTACGAGAAATATGTCAACTATGTGTAGTCTATAGTCATGTTATATAGATTCAGCGATAATATAGGTATATTTGAATTAAATCAATAAACATAATACGTACCTATTTACTTAGATCTACCTTATTACGTAGCTACCTCATAATGCAATTAATTCAAATTTGCAATGATAAATGGCCATTTATTATTCCTAATTTGAAAGCCTAAGGCCTGTGTGGGAAATGAAGAAGAAAATGTTGATAAAAATTTTGGTAAAACTCTTTTTTTAAAATTGGAATTTGAAGTCGTGGATCGTATGAATAAAAAAAAAGAGATGGTCCGCTAATTGTATAGTGTACCACCATGCTATCTCAGACTACCTACATATGTACATATATCTGGATAGTTTGAGATAGCATGGTGACCTAATTAGTAGTTCTGTTATCCGACTCCAAAAATTTGCTATGTTCAAATCTGATTAACACTAAAAACTCAATTTCTATTTCTGACCGACTCTACGGGAAACCACTTCGTAGGCTTGTTCCCATGCTGCGTAGGATTCAATATACTGACTCACCTAAGCATGGGTAAGGCAAGTGCTGCGTATTCCGCACATATTTCATAAAATTAAGAAGTCAATATTCTTTTAACATAGCTTCGATAATAGTGAATAACTACGTCAGTCTGTACGCGAAATAGATACCTATCCGTAGTTACCTACCTATTTAAAATATATTATATCCACTGCTTGTGTAAATCTAATAATAAATATCCCAAACTAAATAAAGAAAATATTAAACTTCATTTATTAAAGTACAAATTAAAAGGTGATTACAATCTTTCGCCTACTCTACGTCAACGCAGATATCGTAAGGTCCTCACCACTCTACGTATTTTTGTTTCCGCATATGTATCTATCATATAATTCAACATCACTATTTACAGATCATATATGTATATGTATACCTAAATGTAACGTAACACCTAGCAATACTCTTACACTGTAGGTATCTACGTAGGTATCGCCTTTCAACATATTTAAGTATTTAGGTTTACTTGTATAATATAAGTGCGTTAAGCATCTACTTATAATAAATATTCCAAGTTAATGTAATAACAATCTTTCAACAATAACAAAAATCATTTATTTATCATATATTTAGCCGTGACTTCGTCTGCGTTTCGTTCGTTTCTTGAGATAATAGATAGCCTATTACCGTCCCTATGATATAGTCTACCTTCAAAACAAATTTGATCTAATCCATTCAGCCATTTTGTCGTGAAAAGATAGACAGTTTCACATTTGTAATATAAGTTAGCGACTCGTTCGGCTTTGCACGGCTATTTAAATTAATTCATAGGAAACCATTTTCATAAAATCACTATGTTGGTGGATGATCCCGCAAGACAATTTGTTCAGTAGTTTTTTAGATTTTCGCTAACATAAAGACAGAAGCGTCCAGAAAGAACCGGAGTCCGAAAGAATGGGACGTTATAATATATAAAGATAGGTTTAGTAATACAAATTATACCAAGACGTTGAAAACAGCACATAGTTTGCTTCTTATTATGTGAGAAATTCAGATGCATACAAAAAATTTTCTTCTTTCAAAAAACTTTTGGCCAATAAGTAATCTACTGTCTATACGTCAACAAGCAATAAATATATTTCGTGTTAAAAACCGATTTATTATTTTCACTCTGTCTAGATAAATATAACCAATGATTTTTCATTGCTATGTTATAATTCTATTTATTTTTATCAGATTTAATATATCAACCCAGAGCCATATTTTTTAATTATTAGGGTACTCCTAAACCCACCGTATTTCATCCACCCTTTAACGGCGGATTAATTTACATAGGGTCGTATCAACCCTGTGTACTAAATGTATAATGATTAAAGATTTAAAAATTATTATTTTATATTATATATAGTTTTTATATTATATATAGTACTTACAGTCAAAAGTACAAGTGTGTTACAATTGCTGTGAGCAAATAATCGCTAACTTTTATCTGAATTGTAACCGCAAATTAGAAAATTATATTTTTCATCGCACAGAAATAAGGACCCCATCTAGCAAGTCACAATATTATTTAAAGTAATAAATGTATAAATATATTGTGGTGACATTAGCTTAATAACATAAATCTTAAACTTCAAAATACGTTTCATTTTAACTCGTTAAAAGCAAGAAAGTAATATATTTTTTGATCAGGCTGCATAAATAATACGTGTTCAATCGTAAAGTATTTTGTACTTTTACATATTTTTACATTTTAAAATTAGTTATAACGATTTAAAATAAATAATACAAATGTCTATTATATGATATGGTTTCTGTTGCAGTAAAAAAAGGAAACATACGGATTGTCAATTAACTGTCATCTAAGATTCTAAGCTGTCAACGTCATAAATGTCAACGTTGTCATATGGTTGTTTATATATCATTTCGATTTTTATTTACTGTAAAGATAAATAAATTTTCCTTATTCAGTATTGCTGTTTATAGATATATTAATAGTTCTAATAATGAAGGAAACAAAAATGAGCACACACCTCTCTGGAGGGCGCTTGAATGTTGCATTAGTTCAAGAGACCATGAGAAAAGAGTTATTGAATCTCCTACAACTTTGTGAAGGCCCCAAAGTTAGTATAATTTAGACATTATTGTATATAATATGAGGATAATCCTCATCATTACTACATAATATTATAGAGGATATTAATTGTTATATCCGCACGCACTCATTTATCGAATACATAATATATACACTATTATTCTAAGTCACACAATGAAACTAATGTTAATACTCCAGTTTATTTTCCTGCTAGGTTACAATTTGGGATGAATGGCTGGCGGGACCAGTTGGTTTGGTGGCCCAATACTCACTTCTTCAAGAACATGAAGTTGTAGACATGTTTCCACTTCGGCCTGGAAGTCTCCCAACAATATCAGTCAAGCATATTGTTTTTATTGCCCGCCCCAAACTGGTGCTAATGGATTTGGTTGCTGATTATATTCAGTCACTCAGGTAAACTCCTTATTTGATATAATATAGTCTTGACATATATTTTAATTGAAATTAAGCATTAGATAACACATGTGAACATCAGTCTATTGTAATAATAATAAGTGATTTCATTGTTACAACTAATTAATTTATGTAACACAAAAGATTCTCTTGGTCTTTATCAATCAATTTAAATATAACACTTAATTATTGTTTGCTTTATGAATTACCTGAAGTTATATACATATTTTTTTATTCAACATAATTATGTTATAACTTTACTATATATTTCTATCAGCTTCATGTATAGTTGGGTTACAATGCAGACAGGTTGCAAGGTATCTTCTAATATGATTTATTAGTAAAAATTACAAAACACAGAAGACACCTGAAATGGCAATTCATGTGAGGCACTACATGTCATATTTTTGTCTATATAAAACTAACTTTTCTTTTTCACTATTATGCCAAAAAAGTAAGTATATTGTTATTAATGAAACAAAACTGCTTTTCCAGATCTAAGCAAAGCACACCAGTGGAATTCCATCTCTTCTTTGTACCCCGTAAGAGTGAACTATGTGAGAAGCATCTCATGAACCGTAGAGTGTTTGTCAATCTTTCCATCCAGGAATTCAAATGTGACATCTATCCATTTGAAAGTGATGTTATGTCACTAGAGCTACAGAATGATTTCCGGTATATGTATATAATATGATGTTGTTTTCTGATTAAATAAAAGTAATATGTGGTAGAACACATTATTTTTCCTACATTCAATTTTACATAAATATCTTTATGAAGGATGTGTTAATTATTAAGTTTATAAACACAAAAGGAAATTTGTTTTAATTTCTCCAATAGTTTTAAATGCATAAATTTCCTCCTATATTATTATATTACTATCTATATTTTTCATAAATAAAAAAAAAGAATTGCAACTTACAATTATGTGATACACCTAGAACAAGTTTTTCTAATTTGGAGCTGCATTGTGTGTGATATTTCCAGGTTTATTTTATTTTATTGAAGTAGTTATTATTACATAATGTATGCCTATTGCAGGGAGAACAACTTAGAGGGTGATCCTACATGCGTTTATAATGCGGCGCAGGCACTACGTACTGTACAACAGCTGTATGGCATCATACCGCGAGTTTTTGGAAAAGGCTTCGCTGCCAAACAGGTACTACATTCTTCATTACTAAACATATTTGTGCTATTAGTTAGTATGGGACATACTCACAAACAAAAAAATTGCACTCTTTGTATAATATATAGTACTAAAGGTACTGAGGTAAGTAGCTATAAGTAGCTGTAATAAAAAAATATATAAATATTATGAACAAAAAATTGCAGTTTTTCTGTAATATACAAGTAGTATCACATATGCTGTTAAAGAATCCTCTCAAGAGGTTAAATTGCTGTAATTTCTAAAGCTATCTGTTTCAAATTGCTATTAATGCATGGGTGCCCCACTTCCTTATATTTATGAATTATATTTATCAATACAAAAATATAACATATGTACTTAATTACTTTAATAACAAATACATTGCAAAGAAATAATTTAGAACTATTAGGTCTAGTTAGGTATCTAGGTGGTAATTTCATTAACATAAATTTCTGTAAATAACTTCAGGTTTGGGACCTATTATGTCGTCTCAACAAAGAGGACCAAAGTACGTCGCTGAAGGGCTCGTCTACATCTTGCATTGACCACCTACTACTTCTAGACCGCGCCGTCGACTTTGCTAGTGTTATGACAACTCAACTTACGTACGAAGGTCTTATAGGTAAGTGCTTACATCTGTGTACAATATGTATGTCTTAATAAAGATCGCTATTAACATTAAGGCCGACCTTCATTACTATTACAATAGTAAAATAAGTAAAGTGTATAATTTATGATAAAACTTTTTCCCTATTTTTGTTCCGAAACACAATATTTATTGTAGAATTAAGGAAAAATTGATAAACACGCAGATACATACATATGCTTGATTATTATCAGTGTCTATCTATTACTGATAGTATCAGAGTAGCACCTTGTAATGTCATAAAATTATATGCTGATGGTGGTTAGACCGAGGGTTGACACATCCACTGTAGTACAGTTTTACTTTATAATAACTTCCAAATTTACAAATCCTAATAAGATATTCAAAATAGGAATCGTAGCCTTTCTGGAGTTTAATAGAAACTATTATGATAGTATGTATAATTATTTTTTGAACAGATGAATTATTTGGGATAAAAAGTTCTACGGCAACATTTCCTGGACACAAGTTCGTGAGCGCAGACGACGCAAGCCCCGAGGTAACCGCGCGAGAGAAGAAACGCATTATACTGAATTCAAGTGAAGAGTTGTACGCAGAACTACGCGACAGTACCTTCACTGAGGTATGTAGCTACAACAAAAATTATATAAATATTATGTATTATTAATAACTAAATTATTAATGTATGTATATTCTGATTTTTACAATATTTTCAAATAAGATCCTTTTTATAATTAATGAATAAAGGGTATCCTTTATGGCACAGTATAACACATGCTATTATGCTAATAGAGTTAACATTAAACTCAATTAATAAAAGATAATTGATCACATATTTTCGTTCTGTCTTATGGGATTGATATTTCATATTTCTTCTAAAGCTTTCTGTGATGTTTTGGGCTACTAAAAAAAATATTGCAACGTCGTATAGGTAGGCGCGGCGTTATCGAAAAGAGCACGAATAATAAAGACACAACTGGGTGAGCGGCACAACGACAAATCAGTACAAGAGATCAAACAGTTTGTCTCCCGCCTGCCGCAGATGTTGGCCAACAAACAGTCATTGGCCACTCATACTGCCATTGCGGAGTATATCAAAGAGGTAAGTTGGTTATATACATATCATTAACCTTCATCATTCTTTATATGCATCAGAACTGGCATGAAGAAATCATTGACATGTCAAAAGCAGAAAATAGGACCCATCCTTTATTTTGGGACAATTTATACTACACACATTTAGTTATAATCTAAATGTGTGTATAATTACTTATAAATAAATTGTATGATTACAATTGTTAGTAATCTTAAATAAATAAATATATATATATATAAAGAGGTAAAATTTGGATGTTCGAAATTTTTTGTTTTGGGTAGTCCATTTATCGAGGAAGGCTATATGGCATCACACTAAGACCAATAGTAGCGGAGCTGCAATCTAAAATGTTGCTAAAACTGTGAAAATATGGCGCTGAAATTGCGCGGATCTCATATGGATATGGTGGAAGTAACTATAGACTTTTAAGCTATTTTTGATATACCAGCTTACCATTAATAATTTATTTCAATAATATTATTTCAGACAACAGACACATTCGAGTTCCATGACATAATACAATGTGAAGAAGAGTTTCTAAATTGTATCGATAATGATAAAGTATGTCCATTCATTGAAGATCTCATTGCACAAAAAGAACCTATTACAAAGGTAAATATTTATATTTTTTTGCATGTAATTGCATGAGAAATAACATGACCTGCCACCAGATGGAAATGACTCACTTAAAAAAGGTCGTAATATAGAAAGCATAGGAAAGCATCTGGCCTGTAATAAAATCGTCTAAATACATAGATAATGAAGTGTGTTATTGGTTTAATCAGGTGTTACGACTAATATGCCTGCAATGCGTCACCGGATCCGGTCTGAAGCCAAAAGTACTAGAGTATTATAAACGCGAGCTGGTACAAGTTTACGGAATGAAAACATGGCTCACACTATGCAACTTAGAGAAATGTGGTCTGCTCAAACCCCAAGTAGGGACGAGGCAATATGTCGTCTTGAGGAAGGTTGGACTTTATATACATAAATATTTATTTTATTTTTAAGACTTGACACCAATATATTATAATTATACGATTATTTAATGATTTTTCTATGTATTTGTCTTTCGCGATAGTTGTTGCGACTTCCTCCGGTACAGGTACAGCACGTTCGTTACAGCAAGAAGATACGCTCACCTTGCCGAAGACTACCGGATATCAAAACAAAATGTCATAATACTATAATAATTTTTCAATCGATAATATTATTACAAAAGATAATGCTTCCACATTCAGTTCTTATTTCAATTAGTTCATAATGATTTATTTTTATTTTTTCGCAAGCCAATATATTGTCATAAGTGATAATACATATGAATTAAGTGAATCTATAATTAGTTTAAATATTGCCATATATATTGTAACGCCGTTGTGGTTTAAAACAAACACAATTATCGCAAAAAGTTACTCCTTTCGCGAATATGAAGTAATTTCATGAAATGTTCCTATATAGTTATATAAATAAAATATTTATTAGGTATATTAGTTTTTTTATGGATGGTGGAATGGTGCACCCACCTGAGCTGTATGGTATGCGCTACGGATGCGCGGTATGAACCTGGAGACTATAAGCATAAAGTCAAGTCAGTTAGCCTAAATGATAGCTAACCAGGAGTTAACCACAATGATTTCAGGCGGAACCAAGTGGAGCTCGTTCTGACCTGTAACTTACGAGGCATTTCCGATTGTTAACAATGACGAATACTATCCACTTTCAGTTATACCCTTCCTTAGGTCTGACACTATATATTCAAAACCAAATTCTGTTTACTAATTTTAGGCCTTACACCTAACAATGGACGAGTCAGAACTAAATGGAAAAGACAAAAGCTATCTTTCATGCAAATATACGCCGCTGACGGTACGCCTCAGTGAACATATAGCCAAGAATAAGGGTTGGTCTGGTGAGTAATTTATATACTACATATACATACTACTGATATACATCTTTAATAGGGAGAAAAATAATAGGGGTTCTCAATTCGGCCGAAATTTCCGCGAAGTGACAAGAAATCTATCAAAGTAGACTTTGTACAAAGTTGTCTGCCGGGGTACACCTATCTTAAATATGTAAGATAGGTGTACCCAGCCAAGTAGCTTGCTTTGTTAGCGATGTTTCAGATAAAGGGAGAATAGTATCATGGCAGTGAAATTATATGGTAAGAAGCTATGATGTCACCAGTCCTCTAAACTGGCAACGGAAGACTGATCGCACCAGCGTCACATGACGAGGTGCGATCAGTCCATGATACTGTTCATGTTCATAACTTATATAAAGTTATAGTTGCCTTATGCATGAGGTGGGTCTTAATAGATTGTGATAACAAAATTGACTTTTTTGCTACAGAAACAAGTAACATATTCTGTATTATCTGAGTATATTAAATGAGTTATAGTGTCAACAGTCGCAACAACACTAATATAGATAACTAAATTATCTTTTTTAAACATGAGTACATCTATACATCCTAAGACTACAAGAATAAGAATATCTATCTCTATATGTCAGTGGCAGATTGGCTCGTTGATCTGTTATATCCTGAATATATTTCTACTTTTTCTTTTTTTACTGTCAGTTTTCTCTTGATGTTTTGCAATTCAAGTTTATTAGGGTTGTAAATGTAACGTTTTAAAAAATAATAAAAATATTGATTCGAATTTCCTCTAAACCATATTTATCCATATTTTTAAAATATCGTTTTTATGGGAGTATTTCTTTTTAAAAACGCTACAATATCAAGGTTAAAGAATGTGTGTTTCCTCATATATTCATTCGGCATATTAATGTACACTCTAGGCTAATTAGCATACATCTCATTTAGTGACCCAAATACCTTCCTCATAAAGTACAATTTCCAGCGTGCATACTTTATTACTCACTATACGGTGTAGGTAAATACAGTATGAATTAACATGCATTATAATAACAGCACCGCGTTTATTAGATAACGTTACATTATGATTATGTTAAACGGGTATGTACGTGGGTGTAGATATATTTGAGTTGAAAATATCTATGACAATAATTTTTAATACCCCAACATCGACTTCAAATATATTTTAATTTCATAATGATTTCTGGATGTATCAGTCAAAATAATATAATTTATTCACATTTCTTTCGGCCTCTTGTGTAGGTATGTCAATTTTTTCACTATGTATACCGTCCAATTCGGTTATCTACTACAGTTGAGAAGAACTGGCAAGAAACTTAACTTTTGAGTCATTTTCAATGTTTAAATATTACATAGGTTTTGTATCTGTAGGTCTAATATATTTAAAATATTGAATCTCCTGTCTAAACAACTAGCGCCATACAAGGTCGTCTCCCAAATAATCGTTTACTTACTGAATTCATTAAAAGGTAGTTCCTAAATATCTGTTGGTAATTACATCATATTGTATAGTTTAATGTCTAATAAATACATACCTATTAACTTTATCTATAGTATAAACGATATTTCGGGAGTGCAAATATGATTACTCAACGTGATAAATTAGTTGGTTTTAAATATCATATACTTACATATGGTATTTTTATCCCGATAATGAATGTCCCATGAGACATTCATTACTTGAAAATATTGAATACATTATTAAAATTATTATAAGCCAATCTATGTGCATAGACCCATGACCTTTGATTTCTATCAATTATTCCAATCACAAGGCTAATAGTTGGTATCAGTAACAATCAATGCCCAAATTGATTGACGAGCGGGTAGTCTATTTGATGAACCAAAGAACTTCGAGCAGACCTGATCTGCTCTGAAGTTTAATCTGAATAACGATTGCAATGCATTTTAGAACTGTTTTTTTAGAGCTAAACATAACTAATTAGAATAAATTAATAGCAATGTCAGTTATTTCTTTAATTGCACACGCAATATTAAATCAATATCTTGCTAGTGTATATTCAAGAGTGTAAAAAGTATACAAAACAGCGCAATTTAATGCCATTGATAAGGTTAAAAATCGATTAAAAAAAAATTAAATAGATTTCGGAGCAGGTAGTCTAAATTTCAAATCCCAGTTCTAAGCGAAATTTGTGACATACAATAAAGTGCATTATTAAAATCGAAATATACCTAATAATTGATTAAATACGTACTCGGATCTTTATACACACATTTCGTCTGAACTTGGTTTTATTTTTCTGGAAAGTTTTAATAACAAATAATGTATAATTTCAGGTATTCAAGAAATACTGGGATTACTTCCCGGACCTACAGTGGACGAATTACAAACGTTACAACCTCGTATGATACGCCGCAACTCGATCTCTAGTGAAAATTCGTCGACTGAAAATCCTAAAGTAATATTAGTTTTCTTTATTGGTGGCTGTACTTACCAGGAGATATCAGCTCTAAGAACAATTAGCCAACAGGAAGATTCAAATGTAGAATTTGTTATACTTACTACAAAGTTGCTCAGTGGTACAACATTTATTGAGTCATTAATGGAAGCAGAATAAATTTTGTTTTAATATATCTGTTAAATGTAATAAAAAAAATTTTGTGTCAGTGTTTGTAAGAAAATACCAACGAAACGGCTTGATCAATTTTTATAAAATTTTGTGTGTATATTCAGTATGTTTGAGAATAAAAGATACATACAACCTTAAACTTTAACCCTTTTATATTATTTTAATAACTTTCTACTCTCAGATCAATAACTGATTAATTTATATAACAAAACAATGTTTGCCGGGTCTTAGTCATGTCAGGAAATAAAATAATAGCTGTGTAGTATTTATCATTTCCTGATATAGCAGTGTGAGGTTGTTGCTAAAGATAAAAAGTAATTTCCTGATATAATTTTAGTACTATCTATGTCAATTTAGGAGTTGACGCTGTGTATTTATTGAACCTATTTAATCCCATATTAATTGTATAACTTGTATTATAATTTCTGTATATTTTGTATATTAAAAACTGTGTTAATTCCAACAATTGATTTTAATTTCTAACAGGATACCCGAAATAAAATTAAACAGTGAACCATAAATCTTGGTTTATTAAAATTTCATATTTATAACTTGCATATAATATAAATTTCAATTTTATCAGTTTATTAAATAAATTTTCAAAATTCCTGCATGCTTACTGTCTATATATTACAATTTTAAAGCTTCAGCATAATAAAAATAACTTCATACACCAATCACACCATACAAAGTTATGACTAATCTCATAAATATTCGTTACTAGTGTATTTTGTGATGTGGGATTTCTTTGGAGGTGCAATGTTGACACCAAACTTCTTTGCCAAGTCTACAAGTTTTTCATTATCATACCCTACCTCCTCCTTGTAACACCTTAGCATGAGTGGCATCACAGTATCCAGAATGAACTTAAAATTTTTCTGTGCATAACTAGAATCATTACCTAGAGAGAGCATAAGGCGAGACTTGAATATAGCATGGATGCATTCATCTAACACATCCATCATATCTTTTGTAACTAATTTCAGTCCAGTTTTCTGTATCATTATAACTGACTGTGCAAACCATACTGTACTACTTGATAAATCTACCCATGTTTCATTTATAATGAACTTAGCTAATATAAGGCCCAAATTTTCCATTTGCAACAAGAATTTATTCACTCCAGCTTTGGTATGCATATTAATTGGAGTCCATTTATCCTCTGACACTTTTGTTTTCATAGAATCAAGTATTTTCTCTTTATATTCTTTCAATGCCTTAGTTATTGGACTTCTAAGACAGCTATCCATCTGAAACCGTAGATCTAGACCAAATTCACAAAATAGCATGCACTGATCTCTCAAACTATCAACACATTCTAATACTGAATCTAAAGGGCACTGTGGAGTAAATATTTCCTTTATAAGTCGACTCATTAGAATCCTAAGTTGCATACTAGCCCAAAGTATGAATGCACTAATTTTATTCTTAGGGAATAATGTAATGAACTCTGTTAAGGCATCACTCAGTGAGCAGAAAAATACTTCACCCACTTGCTTCACATAAGTGTTTATAGACCCTTCTAGTTGCACTCCCTTGACATGCACTTTAACAGTATGACTGCATATTGCTAAAAATAAATCACATGCTTGACTGGTCATATTAAACTTATTAAGTATTAAAACAGGGTGACGAGAAGACCTAAGGCCTCCCCTTGGACTCCAATTATGCGTAACATCCAACTCCTTCAACAGTATCTCAATCAACAACTTCTGCTTTTGTTCAATTCTTTTCAAAATTTCTAGCCTCTGTGGATGATCTTTATATTCTTCACTGTTTAAATATTTCTGAGCTGATACCATTAAATCATAAGTTTTTTGAAAATGTCTCTCAACAATCAACACATCTAACTCCTCTGTGACATCAGCCAACCATTCTGGGAGATTGGGTATTTGTGGAGATGGCAGCTCCTCAACTGATAAACTAGGAGAATCCAATGACTCCAGCTTAGGTTTGTCTTGACTCTCCTTCTTTTTTTGTTTAGAGTTCTCCTTCTCAATATGCATTTTCTTAGCTAATTCAAACTTATCAAGCCAGTCTTTTTTTATTGTAAGGCTATTGCATTGGAAAACCCGGGTGTCTGGGAAAACTAATAGTTTGAAAGCTTGTTTCACATTGCCCAAGTCGCGTACATTCACTGCAGCCAAAGTACTAATGCGATAGCTGCATTCAAATTGGTACCTAGTGGCACCCCGTCTATTTGATATCCAAGAAGTCAACATAAGGCAATCATTGAATAAATATACATGCATTCTCTGCAGTGCAGTATTCTCGTCCGCATCTATCTCCAACAAATCACCTTCGTGAAGCAAAATTCTATCTGGAATGTCTAACAAGTTCATACAACCTTCAACTTTCTCTGATATAAGAATTAATTTGTTTTTACGTTGCTCCTCAGCCTTTTCTGCTTCTACATCGTGATTCTCAAGAGATTCATGGGATATAGTATTCTCATTACCTAAAATTGACGCGTGGGATAACGTAGTAAGCACCGTTCGTTGTTCACTTAATAAATGGGAGAGCTTATACATTTCAGCTTCCAGGTGGGATATTTCGGTTGCAGTTTCAATGAACTGCATGTAATTTTCGTAAACATTTTTTTTGAGGGCACTAGCGGTTTCGTCGGATAAAGTTTGAATCTTCTCCTGCTGCTGCTGAAGCTCCTCCCCCCCGACACAAGACTTCGCTAATTCCTTAACGAATCGCTCGGGATTGAATTCGCGAAGCGCAAATTTTTCCATATTAATGTCTGACATCGTTTCGTAGGTATATTTACAATATTAACGGAGAAATATTCGTAAAAAATCTATTTCTCTCATAATTCGATAATCGAACAACAAGACACTTAACCCATTGAATACAAAATTTCAAGCACAGCACAGATTATAGCACCAATGTCAAACAAGCTAGAAAAGTTTAATCAATTGTCAAATTACGTTTCGTTTCTAATCGAGACAGCTAACGTCATTTGACTTTTGTTGAAGGAAAGAATGAATCGATCAATTTAATATTTTAAGTTCCAATAATTAATAAAAATCATTATGTTTTAGAGAATTCCTCTTTTAGATTGTAACTACATAAAAAATCCAGAATTATTGTTCTGAAATAGCACTCCAGTTCTATACCTGCTTAGACTTGACCATTGCCCTTGACAATATTTATTTTTGTCGTTTTTGCATATACACATATTTATTATATTTATTGCCGACACATTGTTACCAATGAGACAAATTAGATAGGTAGATAATAATAAGGACGGCTTCGGTGATTCAGCGATTTAGCACACCGCTTTATTTCCGATAGTTGCGAGTTCGATTCCGAGGACCACAGATACGATAGGGCGATACTAACATTTGTATTCAGCAGTATGATATTACTTACATTACAGCTTGTAGTGGTTAGGTGTTTGTTTACTACGAATGTATGTTTGCATCGTCGATGTCGTGGTGAACGCAACACTTCATATACTCTCATTACTTTCACTATACTTGTAACATCAAATCAAAATATCTTATAATATAAATAACTAATTCATGAGTAAGGACATTTTGATATGCTTAGTATTAGACCTATTACAGACTCTTATATATACAAAGTTGCATGTGATGTATTGTATAAAACGGGTTCAGAGGCCCATATTCGAATTCAGGGATTTTCGATCGCAGTAGGGGTAGTAAATGAAACGAAGCTATGACACTCTCAAATAAAACACTTCTCTATATTAACAAATTGTTTATATAGTACTTTTTATTACGTATTATGTTTTACAATAGTAATATTCATACACACACTTAACTTAAAATTATTAACTGTACATTACTAATGACACTTCATTCATCCTAAATCATTAATTACAAACTTACAATGTTTTATTAAGATCTCTTAATATAAATATGGCAGTAATAGTTAATTGAAAATATATACCTACTTCAAGTACGCATCCATAGAGAGGCTTTAAGGTTGACTATTTTGAAATCAGTAAGTAAAATAAATTACAAACTGAGTTTATACGCTAATGATTTAAGTAGGTACCAAGAAAAAATAATTATGTATTGCTACTTTCTATACTGACTTGCTTGAAAATTCACGTTAGTAATTCGTATTAATACATTTTTTTTGTTCAATCTGTTACCATTACTGCGTATTGATTACGCCTTCTTATCGATGATTTCGGTTTTATTAGTGTCGTCTTTTGCGGCGACTGCTGGAACTGCGTCGTTAAGTACTTCAGATTCGGATTGTTCCTTGGACTCGCTCGCATGACTGGTCTCGTTCGTATCGTCCGACGTGGACTCGCCGCCGCCGTGTCTCTTGTAACGATAATAGCGAGTAGAGGCCGCCACCGATCGAGACTCGTAGCAGTTGACCAAAGCATCTCCGTTATAACCTGTTTATTATTGGGTATATTTTATTAATAGGTAATTTTATAGTTAGTTTATCATATAAGACAGCTTAAATGGGAGCGAGTCGTGTCATGGGTAGGTACTAGACAACCGATACAATTACTTAGATTAATACAAATGTTTGTACCCTGTGAGGAATCGAACCCGCGACCCCAGGTGCGGTGTGCTGAACCGCTAGACTACCGCAGCCTATATATAAATATCTGCATTTACCAGTGGGACAGGTGCAGACAGCAAGATGTCTGCGGGCCATGCAAACAGCGCCAGAGCCGCACTGAGTGTTTCCGAGACACGGGTCCACGCAGCGGTAACCCACGCACGCCAGGTTGTCCGAACACTGCGAGTCCAACTCGCATTCACCCTGAATCAAAAAATATATCACCCACAGGATTAGAAAATTAATCAAAACACTATTCATTGCAAAGGCGATCGATCAAAATGGGTATTAGTGCCAATTAAGCCAGTGCTCAGCCTGTAGCAAATACTCTCATGCGGCCCATAATTTGGATTCGGTTCTTAAGTCTCAACACTTACACATCAATAGATACTATTCATCACGCACAAAATAAAAAAGATTACTTAAAGTACGTAATATTATATTATCTCTGCTTAAAGATTTAAAAACTTTGTTATTATGTTTCCAGATAGTTTTCAGTGGTTTCTCTGTAGTGGGCCCGTACTCCCGTAGTATTTGGTACCATTGCTACTAGGTTAATCCAGCACAGATGGTTATAGTAAAGAAAAGAGAAATCCGCCACTATTGTATTATATAACACTTAAAAATATATATTTTTATATTAAGTACTTAAAAATTCTATTTTTATTTATTTTAATAAAACCATAAATTACCATCTAAAACTCACGAATTAGGTGACATTAGTAATAATGTACAGACCTACACTTTATCTAATAGTAAAAATTGTCTGCGTGAGTTAGACTGATGTACCATCAGTCTCACTTACTTCTGCTGCCTTGTAAGCTTGCTTTGTACGATATGTTTCGGTTGTAGGGTAGATTAGTGAATTAACAGGCTAAGAGGCATAAAATCTTAGTCCTCTGGAATAGCAACGCTTAAAATATATCACGGGCATCACATGATAACGTGATATCCGTAATCGTTTTCATGTATACAAGCCAAGTTTATCATATACCTACTGTCACGTTTGCCGTCATATTGGTTTTCATTCCAATTACATAAAAAACGAAACGGAATATTTGTATGTAGGTATATTACCAACATCTATTTGCCTATGACATTAAATAAAGTATATCTACGTCCCGGAACACAATAGGAGCAAATTGCGAGTTGTTTAAACAGTTGCTTACAAAATAATATGTGAATCATTTTAAACAATAATATTATGATTTCAGTATACCTGAAAACAGTTTCATTATTTTGTATTACACTAACCAGTACCTACAATGTTTTTATGCAACTCTTGTAATTGGTATTCGCCAGCATAAAAAATATATCTATATTTACTCGGTAGATTCGAGAGTAGATTATCTAATTTTGTACCCCTCATTACTTATGAGGGTCTCTCACCAAAATGTTATTTATTGGACATATTTACATACACACCCCTTTTAGTTTTCACCCTTCAACCCCATATTGCTATTAAAAATAGGGTTTAATGGGAAACCATATTTTTAATAGCAACATTAGTACTTCAATTTATATGGCAAAACAAAATATATATTTTTAATTAATACCTTCTCGCAAGCTACGAGTGCGTTCCCGATATATCCAGTAGGGCAGGTGCACACGGGCCGCTCAGCGCCGGTGCGGTCGTGTCCCGGAGTACATTTCGCATTCGCGCCGCAAGGGTTTGGTTCGCACAAGTCACCTGCAAACGGCACATAGAATGTATTATCTAAATATAAATAGCATTATACTCGTATACAGCTCTACTCATTACTCATCGACATCTACTTTTAAACTACTTTGAACTGGTTAAGTAGTACATTTGCTATATGCGAATGTACCTTGCGTACTTTTTAGGCTGTCGATGAAATATAAATAAATATGACATTAAAGGTTGTAAAAATGTCTAATACCAGCCATGGTAGCAGGTATTAAAAGAATAGAAGCCAATTGCACCCGTACAAAACCGGGGCGGGCTGCCCCGGTTTTGTAAGTAGTATAATATAAAATCAGGTACATTATAGTACATAATGTAATATAATGTACCTACCTAATGTTATATACGAAGTACTTACGAGCTTCGAAAGGCCTGCAGAATGTGAATGGATCGCCGGTCATATTCCTAGGGCAGGAACAGACGGGGGTCAGTCCACGGAGGTTGCAGTCCGCGTTCACACCGCAGGCGTTCAAACAAGGGTTGATGCAAGCGTTGTATACACAAGCGGGCTTGTAGCTTGGGCATTCACCGTCCGATGTGCACTCAGCTGAACAGATGCGGTATGGGTCACCGTGGTAGCCCTGTGTAATTATTGTTATACTTATCTAGCAAGTAGAATACGTCATACAATAAGAGTATTAGTTGTTTGGTGTATTTAAGTGCAACTAGGTACAAAGCCTGATATATTGACTGATGTATCTATATTAGCATAATTAAATTAATATATATTCTGTAGACACTCTTTTAAACGTTAGAGAGTAGGTTACTGAAATGGCAATCAAGCCGACAACTACACCTGATTAGAAGTGAAAAACTCCACCCATTTACATCAATATCGAATAATATATAACATAGTATTCCTTTGGGCTGCTATTTCAGGGAACCAGTACCTATATGCCTCTGAATCAGAAAATTACACCGAAACTTAAAAAAACAAGCTGCTAATCGGCGGTGTGACAGTGACTTTGTACAAAGTCTACCTCGGCAAAATATCGTACGGTTCTAGAAACTTCTTCCGAATTAGTGGGCACGACAGGATTCTCGTGTCACAATTTTAATTACCATACTCCTCCGAAACGGCTAGACCGATTTTTATGAAATTTAACATGCATATTCAGTAGGTCTAAGTCGGCTACTATCTATTTTCCATAAGTGATAAGGGTTGTCCACCCTAACATTTTTTTTTATAATGTGACATTTCAAAACACATAGGTACTTAACTTTAAGTTTTCACCCTCTATCATCAATCCTTATTTTTAATAGCGATTTTAATTTATAAGTATGGTAAAACAACATTTGGGGGGTCAATAACTTTAGTATAATATGTACGTACCCTAGGACACTTGCAAATAGCACGATGCGCGGCAACAGTTTCGCAGTCGGCGTTGACTCCACAATCGCTGCATGGACTCACACATTTGAAGTCCCGGCACGATTGAGACCCACCACATTCTCCGTCCGATTCACATTCATGCCGACAGCCGCTTAATGGACTGCCCTATAAATAACAACACCATCAATGACAGCCTCGCTGGTCTAATGGCTTAACACACCGCTTTACTTCGTACGGTCACGAGCTCGATTCCTCGTATGATGCAGATATACATTCTTTTGTTTGTTGAGAATTTGCATTTGGGAGATACTCGCATACAAAACATATGTTCTTGATCCTTTTATATAATTAAAAGCTTTGGAATATAGATATCCATATCCATATTTTATAAATTTTATTATCAGACCCATTTTTTAGATTGCTCTAGCATAATGATACATTACAGAGATTATATATGTCCTCACTGAATGTTAAACCATATTGTATCCATTAGTTTTGTGATACTTCTAACTTGTTATCTAGATTTTATATCAGATTTACTTTGAGATATATGACTATATGTATATATTTTATTTATACTCTTTATTGCACCAATTACAAATAAAAAAACAGTTAATAATATTAATATTAACTGGTACAAAAAACGATCTTATTGCTAAGCAATATACATTGTAATGTACTTACTCTGTATCCTGGCAAACATGTGCATATGGCCTGATTGTTAGCGACGTGGCACTTTGTGTTGAGTCCACACGGTGACGGGTGACAAGCTTCCTCTGAAAACAGGAATTTAATGATATAATATCATATTTTGTTTTAACATTGTATATGATAGGTATAATAATTATGTCTAGATTCATCAATACTATGTATACTAAGTATAGTTTCTTTCATGTTTACATGATTTGGAAAATATGTTTTTGTTTTTAAATAATCTCATTTGCTTTTCTCGTAGGTACCTAATGCCACAAATACTTATAAACACTAAATAAGTCTATGCTTAAATTATTTCAATCATCAATCAATCCATGTTCAAAGTTTTATGAACTTACTATACCTACATAGTATAATATATAGCTTACCAGGATCAGCAATTCGGCAGACTGAAAATGGATCCCCTGTATAACCTGCAGGGCATGAACACACAGGGACGTGGTTCCGAGTCTACAAAAATAAGTGAAAATAAACATACATTACTATCCACACTCCTTGCTAATATTATAAATGCGAAAGTATCTCTGTCTGTCTGTGTCGCTTTCACGCTAAAACTACAGAACCGATTTAAATGAAATTTGGTACACAGATAGTCTAGACCCGAAGAAAGAAAATAGGCTACTTTTGAATGCGATAGAAGGGTTATAAGAGGTTGAAAGAGTATGGAAGTGTCGTCATTTTTGAAGATGAAACGATGAAACTTTTTCATTTGGCTTTTATTGGGTTAGGTCATTAAATATTTTTTTCATTATTTGGTCAAGGTCACTATTTTCGCGGACGAAGTTGCGGGTACAGCTAGTAATATATATGTAGCTATGTTTTTAAATACATACCTACATAGATGTAGTTATATAGTACCTATTGTTTTTTGTTTACATAATATAATGAAACATTTAGAAAAACTCTTATAGCAAATTACATTGTGGTTAAGACTATAGTAAGGGAAACATAGTATGGAGATATAAAAATACACTCAAAGTAATTATGGCGTGACTCGAACTATTACTGTGGGGAGATTCGAAGACAGGACCTGTCAATGTAAGTAGAAATAGTATATATCTAGCTAATAGCCCACGTTTTAAATTTCATTTATACCTACATATTAAAATAATCTAAAAATTCAAACGACATTGTTAAATTACTTTATATTGTCATTTACTGGTTTACCTCACAATTTGCGTTAACACCACAAGTTCCATCGCAAGGGTTCACACAGTGCTGGTTCACACATGTCTGGAAGTCACGACATTCGCTACTGTCTGAAAATAAATAGATACCAATTTATCTAGTCTCAAAGTAAGCAAAGCTTTTGTTATAGATACTAGACAACCCATAGAATACATTTACTAAAATACATTTTTTCACTCATGAATACAAATGTTTGAATTTTGCGCGAGATCGAAGCCGTATTCATAGTAAGGAAGGCGGTAGGCTAACCAGCGATTTGTCATTTATTATACACTAATGTAGTTTGTTTGAAGACTGTAATCATTGGCTATAAAATATTTTTTTGAAATCTAGCTAGACTTCAAAAACATAATTTTACTTTTAAAAAAAAAACACTATCTAAGATTAAACAAATTGTACGCTACAAGTGTCACATAATGCACGTTTGTTACAAAATAGAATTACATGCTGCAGTAATGCAAAAATACGTTAAGTACCTCCTATAAAAGTCTCGCAGTATATATACTCACCTAGACATTCAATTTTGATACACTGTGACAATGGATCTCCCGAGTATCCAGCCAGACAGGCGCACACTGGCCTCACACTACCGTGTATGCAATGAGCGCCCACACCACACGTGTGTGGACCGCAAGTCACCTGGTTATCAGAAATGGACCGCCCATGTTCGTATAGATTGCGACCGTAGTAACTTCGAGGATAGTAGTTCACATAACGGTTCGCTGTAACAAATAGAAAAAAAACATTATTTTTATGTTCCTGGTATGGCAAACAAGGTGACGGCAAAAATAAAGTAAAGCGACAATCAAATCGTCACTTCTGTTAACAAAATAATTCATAATATTAGATTAAACTATAGCATTACATAGTTCTATATTAATATCTATTTAGTGTACTTTTATCATCTAGTCTTATATTATCTAGTCTTATCTAGCGTGTATGCAGCATCTATATAATTTAGCTTTTAGGCATATATAGTGTTGGATTACAAACAATCCAGTTTTGTACTCAACTACCCGTTCTTAATCAAATTCATGTAATGCATGTGATGACTGTGGGACTTCTCAGGTATTGCCATACGTAAGACAGAAGTAATACCATGACTGTGTACCCTGCTACATATTTCATTGCCATATCTCATTCTTTAAGCAGACATATAGCTTATGATAAATTAAATGTGTAACCTTATTTTTAATTGTTACACACAAGTAAAGGATAATAGTATGCCAGATCAGTAAATTGCTAGCTATCACTAGCAATTTACTGATGCACATCCCGCGGTCAGAGGCATTGTCAACAGTGAATGTCACGATGAACACAACACTTGACATGCCTTTATTTTATTTAATAGGTATATACGTATCCAAAATACCAGCCTTTCGGATTAAATCACGATAACTAGATATGAAAAGAAATACTCTGCTGTCCAACAAACAATTAGGACTGAATTCCTATTAAAAAGCGTAGGAATCTATAATAACATTATCTATAAATTGAACTAAACGCATTGACTATTCCAAGAACTTCACTTAGCAATTAATAAAAAAATTGCCTATTATTTTCCATGGAAAAAGAGCAGTCGTATACTTCATTATTTTGGTCAAAAACTAAACAGTTTAAATAAATATGACGCTTTAAATAAAAAGCGTGTATCATCCACGCAATAATAACATTGGCATTTATTGTTATAAGATACTTGAATAATATCCATAACGACAAAAAATACAATGATTGATTTAATTAACAAAAAGTCAACAAGCTCATAATAACATAGCTAAAAAATGGATATAGAACAAAAAAAAAATTTATGAAATAAAATAAACATCACGATAATCCGCCCACCTTTTAAACAATTATACTTAATTAACTCTTTACACCTACATTAAATAAATATGCATAATCTAAATACATAATCACACTTCGTTGTGTAGACATCTGTATGGAACAGCGATGATGACCGAAAACAATATGGCGGACCTTGGACAATGCCTACTGTGCTCCCACAGCCATGGTCACGTTGATGACGTGGCAGATGACGCAAAACAGACAACAATCCATAGAATATACAATATCTATAGGTGGCTTCCCAATAATATTCGAAAGTGTAACAGTTTAAAAAAATACTCTAATGACAAAAAAATAAAACACGATCTACCTGATGAAAAATTATTACCATTCCATATAGACATAAAAATAATGTAGATAAAATACAATGTGACGGTTGTGGTAGATCTCATACATTACAATTCCTGAGAACTACGGTTGTTGACTAGGCTGTTTTACCACCAGTATACAATAATTTGAAAATCACATAATGACGAGCTGTACGTGACACTGTTCAGGTATCCATGTGTATAGGCGAAACTTACCATTTGCCATGAAATGGGCTTGTTTGCCATTCCAATTGCATAAAAAAAGTTCTCAAACCAAAAATATAGTAATAATGTGATTATTTTGTATAAATTTTATCTAACTCCACATAACAATATACAATTTTATCAAATAATAACAAAGTCATAAAAACATTATGAGTTACGAGCTATGGATATCCAGCTATCATTACGTGAAACCATATTGGGAGCCAAATAACTCACCATATATCTTTGAGTGTGAGAAAAATATATTAAAGTATATTTTGCTGAGGTAAAAACTTTGAACAAAGTCCTCTACGTGTATTTGAAATATAGCAGTAAAATTAAGGTTATGGAGGCAAAGCACTGTAATCCTTTGGAATGGTACTTTATCAGCAAGTACCAAAGTAACCTTATCATCAACAGATATTCATGGCCAAGTTTTTTATAGACTATAATGGATTGATGCACTCGCCTGCGCTAACGGTTCACCGGCGGGGCACCAATGGAGAATCATAAAATGAGCATGAAGTCCGTCTGTTAGCCCATCATGACAAATGGCAATTTACGACGATGGTTTCTAGCACGAACCGTGTGGGTCAACTTGAAAAGGTACATTGCTAGCATTGGGATTATAACCAAGATCTTCTCAGCAGAAAACTCGTAATATGCTTATGATGGTTATTCCATGAAACTATTTGAACGTCAGTTGCTGTTCTGAGGATGGGTAAAGGAAATGATTGATGAAAGAGAACTATCCCAATCTAACAAAAATATAAATGGTCATGTCACCGCTATTTGAACAAATGGACAATTAGAGCAAAACAAAAGAATGTAAACTGTAAACAACACATCGCCCACATTATACCTGTCCTTCTATTAAAATGGACGGAACTAAATCTTTACTTAGATATACATAATCGTTTTGTTATAGATAAAATATGCGAGCGTAGGACGCTGGATGATTCCGCGTGGTTAAGTTATAGTGTCAACCTTGGTTAGCGAACAGGTACTGTGAATTATTATACGGTTTTTATGTAAATAAAAGAAATAATAAAATCAATACTATGTTATTGCAAAGATAAGTAGTTAGACGACTTACAGTATTGTAAATACTAGAAGATCTCTCTTTTTTTGATTTATCATCGCACATGTAGTATTATCAGCAGTGATAATTTTTTACTATCGGTTACTTGCACCTGGCAGCTTATGTACGTAATAGGTAAATAAATCTTGTACTCGCAGTATAATTATCTAACCACAATCTAATGCAGTTCCTAACAATCCTCATTTCAATGTCAGTAGTATCCCATATAAATAAAGTAAGTCTAAGCAATAGTTTAATATTTAAATACCCATATAAGAAAAAGGGCTAAACAACCGCAAGTTGGTGCCGGAAAATGTACCATATGCATTATAATAAGAAATTAATGTGCAACATTAATTTCTTTATTATAATGCATAAGGTACATTTAATTATTGGCAAATGTCTAAAGGTGAAGCGACAAGTCGCGGAATATTTGTTTAAGAGCTTATGCGGTATAAAGGATGTTAATATGTATCAGTATCATTATTACATTATAAGTAAAATATTGGTTTTATGTATTCTCACATATGTTAACTCAATAATGGTAAGTTGTACCCACATTTGTTTAATAGATCAACAGCCAAGTTTCAGGCTCATTCTGCTTATACTGAAACGATATTCTGAATAAGAGGTAGATCTAAAAATTGTGGCAATTCAAAATATTTAAGTTTATTCAATAAAAATTATTCCTATTTTGTTCTACGTTCATATACATTCTACGTTCTTGTATTCAGGAACTATAAAATTACCTGTATTGTAGATATTTAAAAATTTCCAAAATAAGTAGGTCATCACGAGAAATCAAGAGATAACAGACTACATCTATTAGACAAGTACTTACGTCGTTTAGTTCAATCAATATTTAATTTATACAATGTTAACATACAATTTAATAGTATTGAGGTATGAAATATTGTAGATACTATTTTGTTACTATACTCCAAAGAAAAAAATACTCTTTTGTTTTCTTAATTAACGAATCTTCTATACCTACTTAAACGTAAAACTTTATTCTATTGTTATTACAATATAACTATGTTTTCGTATAATTATAATACAGAACAGAAAAATAAAATTCTGAGCGCGCCGGTTACGATTCCACTCTATACGATTGAAAAGTAAAAAATAACTTTTTAGCTAACGAAATATTTTTAACATAAAGTTTTATTGACGTAAGTTTACTCACCCTCAACGCCAACCTGTAGGAAGCCGATAAGCACCACTTGTGCTAATAACAGTAACCTGTCACCCATCTGAAATATAGAATGATATATTATTATTGGATATCAACTTAGAAATTCTTTTTAGAGTTATAATATTAAACTTTATATATAGTATAGTAGATATTGAGACAAGATAAACTTGCCTCTATATCGAAGAATATCAATATCAGGCACATTACACGGGGAGACATATGTACATGTTATACGGCCTATACTACGCTAGTCTAGCTTTTTAGCACACTGGTTTACTTCAGATGGTCGGCGCCGGTTCGATTCCTCGCAGGGTATAAAACACGTCTGAGTGTTTTCTACGTATTTTTAATGGATGATAATGGAATGGTGCTCCTGCCTGCGCTAATGGTTTACGCTGGCGGGGCACCAGTAGAGGATGATAAGATGAGCATGAGGTCAGGTCAGTCAGTCTATCGTGACAAATTCACCTGGAATTGATCACGATGGTTTCCAGGGAACCGCGTGGAGATCAACCTGACATTGGTACATTGCTAGCAATGAGATCATCAGTCCACATTACTAACAATCCCCTTCCCCCTGTTTTCTATGTATTTATAAAAAAAATATATCGAAGTATATGCAGTTGTCTAGTACCCATAACCTAAGCTCTGCTTAGTGTGGGACTAGATGGCTTTGTTAATAGTCCGGGGATATTATTGTTTATATAATAATTGCAATGAGTTCATCGCGACCTAATGTGATAAGTCAAAAAAACTTAGACAATTTGAAATGGCCATAGAACTTTCAAAAATAATCTAGACTGCAAAAATATTACCAAGAGATCGCTACTTACAATTATGTTATAAAATTTGTTTAATACTCAAGAGTGGTAATTTATCTATTATAGTCACTTTTATAAACGAATTCAATATCGAGGTACGTTCCTGATTTTTCAGTCGAACAACCGTACATGAACTCACTATTTATTGTATAATGTTCAGACACCATGAATAGTCTGACATAAACAAGACTCTACCTGGTGGTAGAGTAACATAGACAATACATTCTTTGAAAACAAAATACAAACCTAAATTATCATTGAGTATTTATACTTTAAGGCTATAATCTATTTAAAAAATATATATATTTCTATTATAATTGAACCAGTGCGCAACAGACCAGACCGCCAAGCCACCCCGGGTTGGCGTTCACTTAATAAAGATAATTAATTGATATAAGACAGAAAACGGTAAATTTAGACTGACTTTGGTATTTGCACATGTATCTTGTTAGTGTATTTATTATATTATTTTTAGTTCGAAATTGATGCACAACAACACAATATTAACATTTAAAAATAATTTACGTTTGCAGTTTCCCGCCAAAACTTCACTTCACAGATATACAACACAAAATACACTTACGTTGATTACTCGTCTGTGTTACAAAGAGGAAAACAAATGTATGAATAATGCACAGCGTCCTTATACCACCTCTGGCGCCTACGCTCCTACCTACCAATGTTACCTTTGCTTGTTTTACTTCTTGTTTATTTCTTATACAGTTTTGCTGAGAATATCCAATCAAGATGCTTTTAATTATTTATCTAACACGTAATCACTATTAGATAGCTAAGTATAATTATAAAAAAGACTAAAAATAAAAATAAATTATTCTACTGGTATATGCTGAGATGATGTTTAATAACACGTAAGTATTATTTCATCATTGCATAATAAGTGAGTGACCTAGAGCGTAGAGTGTGGAAACTCAGACGCTAAAATACTGTGGAAGGGAATTGGAGACTTAAATAATAATTACCAACGGATACTTACTCATATTTAAATATAATTTTAATAAAATAATTAACATATGTATTGGTTTTAATTTCTTTTAACAACTGAGTCTTAATAAAATGTTGATTGGTTACCTTTCCCGCCTTATTGGGACATTACAACTTAGCAAGCGAACTCAGTAAATGACGTCATATACGTATATTCGCGATAACACCAACCGGATATAGTTATTTGTCATTTTCTCAGAAATTAGTAAAATAGGTACGTATATATTATTAAAGATGAATTTTCGAGTGTAACCATTTTCTTAAAAATAATTGAATTCTTAGAGATAATTAAAATAAGAGGTAGCTAAGAAAATATTTTTTCCCCGTTGAACTTGTTTACTTGACTATAAGACTAATATCAAATATAATATAAAGTAAAATACCTTAAGCAAAAAATTATAAGTTTAAAATAAATGTGAAGTGAGATAACGACCCTGAAAGTGGCAGTTATCCTAGATAGAGTAGTTATACCGACATTTTAAATTAAATAGGTAAGTATATTTACTTTCGTCTCTCGAGTTAATTTGCTTGGTTAATAATAGTTCCATCATTGTAAAGTGACAAAATTGAGACACATAATTTTAGTGTGACAAATTCACGAGGAATTTACATGATGGTTTCCAGGTGGAACCAAGTGGATGTCAACCTGACATGGTCCATTGTTGGCAATGGAGTTATCAATCCACATTACTAACAATCGTCTGTCCCCCCGCTGAAAGATTTGACTGAGTTTTCCAGGCACCTGATTTTTTACAGTCTACATGTGATAGTACCACTTTCGAGCTAGTGAACTTAGTATTTACATTTTAGATAAACAATATACAAACTACAAAGTAACCAAAGTTTCATGTAAAAATTATAAAACTAAGATGCTGAAATCATTTATATACAGTATAGACACCTCAACGTTCATCAATTGTTTTGGTTAGAACTCCTCAAATATTGGATATCGTTTTAAATTCCCGAAAATTCCTATACAATTATCCTATTCGCATACTTACATAGATTGTAAATATTACTTAACGAAGAACTAATAACCACTAATATCGTGTTATGCTATTTTTATCGATTGGATATGTACGTAGGTGACTATATCGTCAAATATTTAAATAACAAACTGTTGCTAACAGGATTAACATATTAGCAGAAAATTTGAGAACACACGATATGTATTTTCTTGATTTAATAGATTAAATTAATAGGTAGGTATAAGTCACACACAGTACTAGTAAACCTACGCATTGGCGCACCTATTATTCATTCACATTCAGTAGAAATTCGTGAAAATCTTTATTAACACAGTACTATTACGCTGGATAGGTATAGGGGTAAACCTATTGTCCTCTCTCGGATTCATTTTTGTTTTGGTGTTTATGTCTCCTTCAACGGAGATTAGTCTGATTTTTTTATGTCGTCTACGTTTAACCTCACGACCTTCCGTTTGTAAGTCGAGGTAGTAAACCACTAAATCACAAGTTTTTAGTTCTTTATTTTTATAAATGGAAAATATGTCATAAAAATGTTTCGATGATAGTAAAGCTCAGGAGAAATAATGATCTTAAATACCAAGTTTAGCATAACATTTTGGTAATGAACATCCAAACAGTCTAATTTTTTCAGCGCCTGACTCACTTTATACATGATACGGCCCACATATCGATTACGTAAGATACCAAATGTTACAGTAGCAACTCGATAAGGATATCCATGAATAAAGTAGGTGATTGGCATAGAATTGTATTAAGTTTAGTCAACTATGGCACATCCTACCTAATTACATCATGTGATTATCCACTTAGTAGCACTTTATGTTAGATCAACGAAACTACTTAAGTATATTGATAGATTAGATCTAGATAGACAGTAGAAATTAACAACTGACAGTTCTCATAACAAGCTGTTGTCAGGTGTACCTACCTTCAATTGGTCCCACTTAAAACCAATAAAAAAATTTTGTGCCATGATAGAATTAGTTCTCTTTAATTAAATCTCTTGTCATGGTACACCATGACAAGAGATTTTTATACATAATTCCAACATGAATGCCTGAACTAATTCTATCATGGCACAAAACTTTTTTATTGGTTTTAAGTGGGACCAATTGAAGGTAGGTACATGCTACAAAGCTTACATGCTTTAGTCATATTTGAAATATATAAAAAAACATATTGCACAGCTACATTTTTTGTTTATTATTTCATCCACTTATCAGGAGCTTGGATCTACCCTTTTAATCCTCTTGCAAACCTTTTTCACATTAAAAAGTAACCTATGTCCTTTCTCAGGATCTAGTCTATCTAAGTCTGTTTCAAATTTCAATTTAAATCGGTTCAGTATTTTTGGCGTGTAAGCGAGACAAACAGATAAAGTTACTTTCACATTTATAATATAAGTAAGGTATTTAATAAACTAACCCTAAAAAGACAAAGAAAAAAGTTTAATCGTTCTAGCTTCCACAACCACACAAACAGCAAATTTCCACAATAACTTTCATTCTCTATTTTATTTTACTACCCCCCTCCCCCTAAGAGTAAACATTTTACAAACATTGAATATCATATTTATTGATATTTAAACAACAGCCTAAAAATGAGTCTCAAACTTCTAGTTTTAAAAAATGACGATTCTTCCATACAGCCTACCATTGCAACCCCCTTACAATCCTTTTTTCACATTCAAAAGTACCCTATATTCTTTGTCCGGGTGTAAACTAACTGTGTACCAAATTTCATTTAAATTTTTATTTTGTTTTGGAGCGTAAGACTGACAGAAAGACAAACAGAGTTACTTTCACAGTTATAACATTAGTGGGGTTTTTAAAAATCTACCCCAAAAGAACCAATGAAAATAGTTTCATCGTTCTAGTTTCAAAAATTACGAATTTACATAATAACTATCATCCCCTACTTTATTTTACCCCCTTAAGGGTAATTTTTTTACAAACAATGAATGTCATATTTATTTATATTTAATCAACAGCCTCAAAAATAAGTTTCAAGCTTCTAGCTTCAAAAATGACGATTTTACATAAAAACTTGCATCTCCTATTTTATTTTACCCCCTTAAGGGTATTTGTTTTTACAAACAATGAATGTCATAAGTATTTATATTTAATCAACAGTCTCAACAATAAGATTCAAGTTTCTAGCTTCAAAAATGACGTGTTTACATAAAAACTTGCATCCCCTATTTTATTTTACCCCTTGAGGGTAATTTTTTTACAAACAATGAATGTCATATGTATTTATATTTAATCAACAGCCTCAAAAATAAGTTTCAAGCTTCTAGCTTCTAAAATGACGATTTTACATAAAAACTTGCATCCCCTATTTTATTTTACCCCCTTAAGGGTATTTTTTTTACAAACAATGAATGTCAATGTATTTATATTTAATCAACAGTCTCAACAATAAGATTCAAGCTTCTAGCTTCAAAAATGACGTGTTTACATAAAAACTTGCATCCCCTATTTTATTTTACCCCCTTAAGGGTAATTTTTTTACAAACAATGAATGTCATATGTATTGTATTTATATTTAATCAACAGTCTCAACAATAAGTTTAAGCTTCTAGCTTCAAAAATGACGAATTTACATAAAAACTTGCATCCCCTATTTTATTTTACCCCCTTAAGGGTAATTTTTTACAAACATTGAATGTCATTTTTATTTATATTTAATCAACAGTCTCAAAAATAAGTTTCAAGCTTCTAGCTTCAAAAATGACGATTCTTCCATACAATCTTTCATCCCCCCTTTTAACCCCTTACAACCCTTTTTTCGCATTAAAAAGTAGCCTATGTCCGTTCTCAGGGTCTAGACTATCTGCATACCAAATTTCATTCAAATCGGTTTAGTAGTTTTGGCGTGAAAGCGAGACAGACAGACAGAGTTACTTTCACATTTATAATATTAGTTTTTGTCGCAGCACAAAAATATATTTTTATCGTTTCCGTACAAATAATAATTTTACAGTATTAATCTACAAACCAACATTTTGTTTCTTACAATCAGCTAAATAATTTAAATAGTTCCATAATATATGGCATAATGAAAAGGTCATTTATTTTATAAAAAAGACAGTTAGTTTTTATTTTAGTGAAAAATAAGAAAATTCTATTTTGATACAACAACCATATATTTATTAATACCTATACTTTATTAATTTTGTGTTAATGCTTTTTAAATAAACACCCACACATTATTTCTGTATAACCTACAAAAATGGGTAAATAATTTAATTTCGGATAGTGCCACACCACAACATTCTTTAAAAAATGTAAATAATAAAATTTGAAGAAATTGTGATTGTACTGAACAACTTAAAAAGAAAACTTAATAGTTTTTTTTTAAGTTGTTCAGAACAGGGAAACAACATTTGACATTTATTATTATTTAACATTGGATATTGACTTTAATTTTTGTAATTTATATTGTAAAACTTTAAGTTGGGCTAAACTGGGCTTGTATCCAGAGCCGTAAAACAAATTGATAAAAAAAATCGCCAAATTTGTCTCGCAATCGGCCAATTTCAGGTTTAAAGAAAAAACACATACACACGATATACGATTTTATCATAAAAAAGTGTCAAAAACAATATTTTCACTAAACGTCAACGTCATGTTTCCGGCAAGATCTTTCGTTTTACATTATGTTATCTGTGGTTTTGTT